CAGCAGATGGCCCCGCCCCTCCCTGAGCCTGGTTCTGCTGGAGGTTTCTTCCTGTTAAAAGGGAGTTTTTCCTTCCCACTGTTGCCAAAGTGCTGCTCATAGGGGGTCATATGATTGTTGGGCTTTCTCTTTGTATTATTGGAGGGTCTTTGCCTTACAATATAAGGCGACTGTTGTTATAATTTGGCACTGTATATATAAAATTAAAATGAACTGAATAGAAAACAACTTCTTGAAAGGTAGAGTTCTGCAAGCTGCTGGATTATGGTGTATTGAGTTGTTCACACAGTCCCCTGCATTGTGTCTTAGTTTTTGTTAAAATGACACAGTGTAATTTCACTTGTGTTGTTGTTCTCAGGTTGTATTTACCTAATCTATCAAATTTTGTAATTTCTTGTTATGTCCTGATAGTAAAACCTTAGAACTCAAAGGGGGTGCACTTTCTTTTTTACCATTTTTAGGTGACAAACTAGTGCATTTAGTGCAGCCATGACAGAAGCAGATGAAGGCCAACAGTGTAGCGGTGCATTTTTATTTTCACACACATTTATATCAGGAAAATCAGGTTAAAAGGTCGGTTACAAGATAATGAAAATGAACTGATGATTTCAAACACTGAAGCGCTGCATGCAGCTTCTGTTGGCCGTTGCTCATTCCCCCACTGCTATCTTTATGCATGCCCTAATTCACTGCTGGCCTTTGGCTCTACAGTTATACAGCTTTATGTATAATATATGACTCCATTTAATACTGCGTGATAGGTATTTCTGGAATGACTGCAACATTTCCATGAACGTCTCTCTCAGCAGTGACATTGTCAGGGGATTCCCTGGATTTTGTTTTGGGAATCTTTCATTCACACAGCAGTGCGACCTCACTGCAGTTAATGTGGCAGAACAGTGGAAGTCAGCCTCGAGCTTTTTAGAATCACTGAAGCAGCTCACTGAAGGATTTTTGCTTTTCTATTTTTGCAAACAGCAGGAGGCTTAAAGTAGGTCAGTGCTGAAAGTTTACTGTGCCCAAAGAACAAAGTCCCTCGTACTTATTGTTGTGGTGAGAATGATGTGTACACCGATCATGGGCATGCATGTCATGTTAATGTGAGCTTCACATGATTTCTTTGAAGTCTTGTCTTTGCAGGGTGGACTGATTGTTCAGCATTCACCTTTAATACTTAAAACAACAACAATTGAAAGCACAAGTTTTAGTTAATGTTGGAGTTTCTCTAATTCACATATGCTCAAAAGCTTAAAACATCTTGCTGTTGATTTGAGGTGAAGTTGAAGAATTTGGAGGCAGTCCTCCTCCTCCTGTTTACTTTGTGCAATGTACCAGTACCACTGGGAGCAAAACAGCCCCAGAGCATGATCCTACTGGGAGCAAAACAGTAAGTGAGTTAAATGTATTTATATGTCATTAAAGTTACAATACAACCAGAAATATAAATAATAATATAAAACATTAATAAAAAGCTTGTTTGTATAGAAATGTCCTCAGCTGCTTTTTAAAGAGTGGATGGAGTCTGTACAGCCTAAAGACAACAGAGCTCCACAGCCTTGGTGCCCGGGACCAACAGTGACCTCTGACCTGACGACCTAAGTGCTCAGCAGGTCAGAGATAAACTGGGGCCTCACCGTGCAGAGCTCTAACAGATAAAACTACAATTTTAAAATGAAACCTAAAATTTACTGACAACCAATGAAGAGAAGCCAAAACTGGATTCGGGAGCGTTCTGTACAGTCTGAAGGCGATCCAAAGCTGATTTGAAACAAATAAAAAGACCACTACAATAATCCAAACGAGAAGAAATAAAAGCAGGTTCTGCCTTTGACACCAGCAGTCTGAGTTTAGAAATGTTTCTTGGATGAAAAAAACAGTTGTTTGGAGTGTTTGTCAAGCGACATTGAACTGTCAAATATAACACTCAAATTTCTGAGACAGCCAGAGCATGATCCACCGTGCTCGGCAGCTGGAACACTTTTCTTAGGTTTCAAAGCCTCGCTTTTACTCCTCTCGCCGTTGTGGCCACGTAGCTCAATTCTCGTCTCATCGTTAGAACTGCAAATGTTCAGTTGAGCTTTGGAGGAGCGGATTTTGGAGCAGTTTGCAGTTTGACCCTGGAAAAGGTGTGCTTATGTACATTTGTCTGAACTCATGTTGGAATCTGCAGTTGTTTAGGAAGAGTTTCAAGAGACCTACCAACTAGTGTAAATTTGTAATTCTACTTCTTTGACTTGAGTTTTGTTGTGAATACCAGTCAGTCCAATGACTGTTGTCAGATCCTTGCTACGCGCAAAGAGAAACGAGTAGTTGTGGTAAATGATGAGCAGTCAATAGACTTTGGTCAAGTTAGAAGACACCGTAGATCCTTTGGCACCACTTACTGAAAGGATTGAATGCATGTATACATTTGTATGTATACTTCTGACCCTGTGTGGATGAGATCAGTAGTCCCCAACCTTTTTTGCGCCACAGGC